CTGCCGTATCAAAACTGTTATATACACTGGAAACAAACACAAACACAGATGACGGTACCCGCCGCCATCTCTCGCTCTCCTCACACGCTGAAATCTATCAACTTTTAGCCTAATGAATTTAGCAGGGAAGCCTCCTCTGCACAGTCCATCAGGCCTGTGTGCCATCCAGGAGATTGAATTATGTCTGTGAGCATTAAAGCTTTGATGCTGTGTTCGGGCGGCATGCACGCATCCATTTGCAAAATTCTTTATAACAGAATTAAAACATGGACACCTATGGAAAAAAGGGCCTGGCACTGGCACTTAAACACAAGCTACTCCAAACAGTCCTGCTGACTAATGCATTTCTAATCATTTCTGTGATCAATGTGAGCCGCTGTGCAATGAGATTAATCAGCTGTATGCAAAGCTGGGATCACCTTGAACAAGAAAAGGGAAAAAACAAGGGAGTGGGGAAAAAGGAGAGGGAATGTGCAAAAATACAGCAAAAAAACATCATCCATAAAAGGTTGTACATTTACTAACCAACAAAGTTACGATTTTGTGCAGTACCTTAACTGGCATCTTCCAGCTTTTTGGGAAAAGGCGTCCAGACAACCTCATGCACGAGGAGTTACCAAATATTTTAGCTTTTTATTATTATTATTATAAAGTGCAATTCAAACTATTTTTGATTACTTTTTCCACATAGTTTAGCTCAAGTTGACAAAATATGTATTGTTTCCGGGATTACAATTATCTAGGTTGTTTAGTTCTATTTGTGTTGTTTAATCTAGCATATGGTCTTGAGTTTAGCTATTTTTTGGCTAAAGTTCACCTTTTCCTGGCCTAATCCAACGTAGATTCTAATTCTGACAATAACTTTTGGTTTGTCTGAACTTTTCTAAATTGGGCAAGATTTTGCCAATTCTGTCACTGAAAATTTGTTCCAATCAAGATTGAAATGGAAGTTGAAACTTGCAAAGTGCAGCTTCTACCAACTCCTCTCGACAAAAGGAGTTTGTGTACGATGAAAACGGCGTACAAAAATAAAGCACACCTGCATTATTCACGCTTTTCAAACCGTCGCATTATGTGTGTATGTGTGTGTGTGTGTGTTACAGCACCCCCCTCCTCCTCTCAGCTGTGCTCTGGCATCTGTGCGTGGCCATCTCACTGCTGAATAGCTGCCTGATTATTCCAAATCTGAGGGAATATTCAAACAAGGCCCTTAATGCATTCTTCCATATGATCCTCCAGAGCCGGGACAGCTGTTCAGCAGCTTATTCACCACCACCGTGTTCAGAGAAAAGGGACAGATTTCACTGCTAAATTAATAGACACCATTAAAAAACAACAAGAGAGAAGTTTGACAAATAGAGCAGGGACTCATTTTTTCCACTTGGTACAAAACAAAGAACTGCAGCTCATGAACAGGGTGTCACTGATAAATGACTGCACTTTCAAAAAAATGATTGGCAAATTAATGTTTAACTCAATGATCAATAGTCAGAATAGAGTCCAGTGTCTGTGGGAAATATTGAGCTGAAGGACTGACTTCAGAGAATATTAAAATCCAGAGTCCAGTATATGTTTCCACAAAGTTTCTAAGAAGCGGTTAAGTGCACTCCTCTCAGATGTAGGATAACATTAGGTCGTATAATTCACTACAACTCTATAACTTCACTGAGGGGAAGCTGGTTCAGAAATAAAAAGATTTTTACAAATAATTTAGGCATTTTGGATTTACGGCTGATTACACAAAATATTTAATCTGTATACAATAGCAAGTATAAGTAAGTACTCTATAATCAATTGGTCTGTTTTCCACTCAAGACTTTTACACTGAACAGGGCAGTGCTTAATTCTATCAGGAGAGCAAAAGGATAACGCAGGGAAAATTGAGAGAAGTTGCCAAGAATGTGACCTAAACTATAACAACACAGCTTTAAAAAAATAGAAAATCAAATAGATATTAGATTCCAGCTGAAGGATTGCTAAAATACAACCAAAGGAAATGATCAGCAGACCTACTGCTAAAGATAAGAAAAAACAATCTTTAAAAGAAAATATGTTGTTGGTTTCATACTGTACAGGACTGCTGCCCCCCCCCACCCCCAACCACCCAGGGGAGGTCTTATTTTGAAAACATATCTGCCATCTCCACTCACTGTCAGCGTCTCCGTCCCAAACACATTTGTCCAAATCACACAGATTACAAGCGTCTCACTTTCTACAAACCTCTCTCCAACAGAAATGATAAACCCGTACTGACAGGAGTTTGTGGTCTGTATCAGAGAGCAGGAATCACTGCTGATCAAGTGTGTCTTTGTTCACTTCACACACTGGACACACTGTGAGTCCTGTGAAGTCTCCGAGCAGCAGATGAATTCCTTTGGTTTCTCTCTGCAGTGGAACAAGGCTGGGTCTGTGTGCTCTGAGGGCACACCTGTAAGGTGCACAACCCTCGGTGCGCTCTACCTCAGTGGCCTGAACTTACAAAAAAAAAAAAACAACCTCTTTCTCCTCCCAGATGATAGAGCAGCGTCGACTTCAAACACAGTTGGGACATTCTTCAGGCAGATTAGACTGGAAATGATGTTTTATTATTCCTGACTCTGGAGAATGACTCAGAGTCTATTTGCAGTGAAATTTAATACAGTTTTAAAATGACAGAGGTATGTTTGGAGTCAGACTAATACCTTGGTGTCTTTTATGAACAGGGGGCAACAGAGAGGATCAGATTAGACAGTGAAAACAGTCGGAGTCTTTGAGTTTGGGGCGGCTGCACTATCATCTCCCTCGTCATGTCCCTGCCTGTAGAGAGGTTAAATTAAATGGCTGTAATAAATGTTTTTGGTCTGGCTGATGTGCCGTGGCTGGCTATCAAAGGAGGAAAACAGCGAGTGGGAAAGAAAAAAAAAAGAAAAAAGAAATGGCACGGTGCAGGATCACAGAGAGGAACGAATGGAGGACTATGTCAGCACATTACACCCGCATTAGAAACGGACTTGTTTTCACTTAAACCTCAATTATGTCGGCCCCTGCTCCAGAAACAATTATATTGATGAATGCTTTGGAAGTTACTGTAATTAAATTATTCCATTTAATTAACAAATTATATTGAATTCTTTCTTGCCCCCACCCCTCACCCCCCTCTGCACCTCCCTGGAGGAACAGCATTAGCCTCATCTGCTGCTGCACAAACAGGACAGGACTCTGTAACGTTGGAAATGATTACTGAATGTTCTCATCAAAGTGTGTCACAACAGATAAACACGACTCACGGTCGACGGAGCAGAGCGCTTGTAACTCAGCCAAAGTCCAGAACCCACAAAAATAATAAAAGCCAAAGATGAAATTATTGATTGGTGTATTCTCAAGGGCAGAGCTCAGGAAAACTGGCTTCATGTAAACACAAACCCCCGTCAGGGAAAAAGTGGGTAAAGAAGAAAACAAAAAAATGCAGCAAAAGCTAAAAAAAAAACAAACAACAACAACAACAACAAAGTCTAATTTTACTAATGCAAGCAAACCTTCATCAGGTTAGGAAGAAAACATTTTAATGTCTACATTTGGAATTTTATGCCCATTGGAACTGGACGACTGACAAACAGAGGGTTAGGTTTTCAAAATATCTATAATATAAAGCAGTGATCTTCAACTGGCGATCCACGGGCAAAATACGGCCCGCCAAACTGTCCAACCTGACCCCAAACTGGATTTATGAATTAATAAGGTTAAGAATTTGAATGCATTTTAAGGCATTAGCAGAATGAGATGCACAGCATAGCAACAATATATTATTCATAGTAACTCATGATGAATCCACATCCACCCACTGATTACTCAAACGAAATCTTCATTGATCCAGCACAAATACTGAGCCCTGGGTGGGTGGTTCTCCCCTTTTCACCCCAAAAACCTCTTGTTACTCTCTGCTAACTACCTAAAGAGGGTGTGACGTAAAGGAAATGACTCCTTTCCAGATTGGGGTTTCATAGCATATGTACGGAGTTTGGAGTTTGTAAATTATCATTCCAAAGAGCTACATGAGGTTTTAACAGAAAGTCAAACGGGCTTTTTAATGTAATTGTCCTCATATTTATATGCATATAAAGTTTTTATTTTATAATAAATATAAAAAAGTGCCCTAAAACTAACTCTGCTGCCTGTGTGTGTTTTAAGAACACATCCACGCTACAAATTTTTTAATTTGCAAATGAACAGCACTTCATCAAAGTGTGGGTTTATTGCATAAAAACATGCCACTGCTGTTTCTGCTGGCTGGCTGTAGAAGGTAATTATACACAGTATAAAATTTTAAAAAAAAAATTAAAAAAACTACAACCGTCTGACTTTGATGGTTCAGCACTACAGAGAGAGACTTCAGAAAAGAGCAAAAAGGTTCCACTGCAGCTGACCACTGCCCTCTGCTGAAATTAATAAAGAACTGCATCAGCATGACCGAAACCTACAGCGATTTATCTGCGGTTTACTGTTGTTTTTAGTAGCAATTCAAAATAATTGAATGAGGTTGGGGAGGAAGCTATGAAAACACACTAACTCATAGAGATATATGGAGAGACAAACTACATGAACAAAAACCTAGAACCTTGTGGTCGGCTAACTTGTATAATGACTAAAATAATGTGTTTAAAATAACTCTATAGAAGTCTATAGTTCTAAAGAACTGTATTCACTTTGAGGCTAATTGATTATTATGAAATAATTCACAATATACACAATGTGTTAAATAGCATTTAAAATATAGCAACAAACCAAAGAACAAACTGACATGAAAATGACACAAAACAGGAGAAACAGCAGGAGCAAAGGAAGCCAACAGGTTAATGTTACTCAGAAAATATGTATATCTATAATTTCAGCAAAACACACATAAACAAACAAGTTTAGTGGAGTCACATAGTGCTAACCCTCTTGTTAGCATTCCCAGGTCATGACAACTGCTAGCAAATAAACAATAAATCACTCTTTTCTGTTTAATGGTTGGCACCTACCTGTATTTCTGTCACCGACCAACATTTCCACTCCTGGCTTTGTTTTGCTCCTCACCAGCAGGTTCACGTTGAGGCTGCTAATTATCCTCACCTGCACCAGGTTTCTCACCTGAGTGGTTTTGTATTCAGGCCCACTCTCCACTGCACTAACTGCCAGTTTGTTGTGTTTCTTTGACTCGTCTCCCAGCTGTTGTTGCTTCCTTGTGTAGCTTCCCAGTCTGTGATCCCAGCACTAGTTTCCTTTTTCCTGCCTCAGTCTGTCGTATTTGTGCTTTTCATTGAACACCTTTGATCAGAATCTGTACTTACGACCTGATTAGCTTAACAGAGCCTCATTGAAGGTTTACAAAATCCTAATGTGTTGGTTGAAGAAAAAGCTTGACAATATTAGGCAACATTTAGACGAGGTGAAATACATTCCAAATATAATACAAAATGAGAAATATAAAGGAACAATAAACAAATATAAGTCGAAAAAAGAAACACCAAAATCTAAAAGTTAGTTTATTTCTTATTGGTAGCAAAAACTTAACCAGAAGACAAAAAATATTTAACATTTAGTCAGGGCATGTTAGCCTGAATTATCCAAATATCCAAACAAATTAAAATAACAAATTCAAGACAAAAATGTATGGCAGACCAGAAGTATTTCAATTAAATAGTTAGGAAAATCGAGTAGAACTTACTCGTGTCAGCTAAAATACCTAAATAATAAAAATAATAATAATTTGTAGTTGTCCTGAAACACTTAATAATTAACTGGAAAACAAAGATGTTAAATGAAGTTGATCAATATGTAGAGAAGTGTCAGTGGTCAGTGGTCAGTGTCAGTGGTCAGTGTCAGTGGTCAGTGGTCAGTGTCAGTGGTCAGTGTTTACTGTCCTGTCCCCTCTGGACTTCAGTCCATATTAGTCCGTGTGACAGTTGTGATGCTGTAAGCACATACCATACATTCTCTCCCTCACTGCTGCGCTGCTGGACAGTTGTTGGACATACTGTATTATAAGAGTTTTAATGCAGCGGGATATGGAGGAGAAAGAGGAGCAGGAGGAGCAGCAGGAGGAGCCGGGCACGGCTCACATTCTGCTGTACAGGAAACGCCGGGGCCAGGAATGACAGTTGCTCCTGTTGGATCTCAGACATGCGTGGATTTATATTGCACTGTAAAAGGTCAGCAGTCACGACAGGCAATCAGTCAGCTCCTAATTGGACCATTTGCAGTCATGTGAATGAGGTTTTAAATGTTACAAAAGTGGTTCATAATAATATGTTTGAACGAACCGTGAAATGTATGGTTGAGTAGTAACCTTTTCATTTGATAATATTTGATAAGCAAGATAATCAAATACAATTGTTTATTTTATAAACTATAAATATTATAACAAACAGGAAGTCAGAGTTACAGTACAGTTGTTTTAATTTATGTTATTAAAAGGTATTTTATTTTGGAAAACAATCACCTCTTCCTGCTCCTTTTTTCAGCAGTTGCAGTGTTGCACTTTTCCATCACTGTTAGGACCCTCGAACTTATTACAAAACAACTGCAGCAGGAGAGTTGTATTCCTTTACCACATATTCAAATACTAACAGAAGTAAAAGGACATTATAGAAAAGTACAACAATTATGCACTACATTTTGTTTTATGTGTGTGACCTTTGCCCACACAGCCCTGCGGCCGCCCCAGGGCAGTATGGTCTTACATAAAATTGGACTACAGTACAAAAAAATGTAGGTGTCTACTGCTGTAAAAGATGTGATACATTTTTCAGGAATTGTTTATTGATGCAGAAAATCCATAAAATCCAAGCTTAATTTTACCACAGAGTGCCATTCATACAGTGTTGTTGATGTGAAACCATCAGTTCTGGTCTTTTCAGGTGAATCACTGATGGCTACATTCATTTCTTAAATACAGTCTGTAGTCAGCTAACAGCTGTGCTCCTTCCAGAACAACCACCAATAAGAAAACTGTTAAGTCAAACACATGTTTGCTGTGTTGCTGTGCTGTTCACTTGACCCTGTGTAACCTCAGAGATGTTAACATATAAAACTAGTTCAGTCAAGTCTGCATGGGTGCAGTTACAACATTGTCAGGAGGACAATAACTGCCTGGAGAAAAACACAGGAGGGAGTGGCAGCAAAATGTCACACTTAAAGAAACAACCTTCACAAACACACACACACACACACACACACACACACAGAGTGTGTGGTTTTAATTCCGTTTTTCTTCCACTGTAGTTCCAGTGTCGTTTCATTCCAGTGTTTCCAGTCCCAGCATGTTGAACCAACGCAAGTCAATCTTCATACGACATGTGTTTGGGTTGAAAAATGAAAAATCCTGACAGGTTCATTCAGATTTGTAAAGCTGAGGTTTAACACTGCTGTCACTGTGATCTTAGAGGGATAAAGGTCGGATTACTGATCATTATTTCAACACTGGGCCAAATATCTGAGGCTCACGTGAGGATACGAGGAACAAATAAGGGCAGAAATGAAAATGGTGTTCGTCTGCAGTCGCAGCAGTCGTTGAAATGGGTGTGCAGTGAACAACGATGAAAAATAATCAGAAAGGTTGAAAGTATTTATTAATTTAGAAAATATGCAATGATAACACATTGCAATAATGATAGGAAAATTACTCTCAGCAGAGGTTTGCAATGGAGGTTCGACAACACCTACAGGGTTGGCAGAGGTACTGCAGGAATGTTATGATTTCTTTTTCTTTTTCTTTTTTTTTCTGTGGAATCAAGCCTTTTATCGAATGTAAATGTCTTTAATTACCATTCTCGTAAGTCGGGCATATTGTGGCATGTGGTAAATGGATAATCATGCCAAGATATGTAATAAGAGAGGACTGGACCTTAGCATTGTTAGTATCATAAGAAAGGGTATTCAGTCTAGATTCAGACGGGTCATATAACAGTAAACATAACATAGAGTTTGTGGCTATAAATATTAAAACATCCCAAATATTTAGCACACATTTTTTCATTCACAAATTGGTTCAAATTTGTTTTGCCATTTATATCTTTGGAAAAAAAACTACAAAATAAGATAAATAGCTTAGAAATCACTGTGACACCCATGTTCCATTTGATGGAAACATCCACAGCCAGCACCAGTACCAGTACTAAAAGTGTGCAGGCTGCAGGAATGTTGGCATCAAGTATGCAGTCCTGACAGACAGCTGCACCGCTCTGGAGTTTTTAACATGCCACACCAGGAACCCAGTGAGCTGCTCCAGGCTCCAAGGAAATCACACACCACGTCTGTAAGTGATGGGGGGGATGAATGTCCCTGTTCCTGTTCCCAAACACTGGGGTGAGACCCGGGAAAGGGTTCAGAGAGAATATCCTTGGGTCAGTGAATAAATGTGTAAATTATAATGTTAGGGTAATGATTAGAAAATGTCTTTTACACCTAAAAGAATACCACGTTTTTAGTGTCTGGCTATAACATATTAAGAATTCTAAACACACAGATTTTGTTCCTCACTGAAACTTCTGAGAGGTTTTTCCAGTAAAGAGGATTTATATACAGATTAACAAAGTATTTTCCAAAGATCAACTGAGAACCAGCGCAGACATTTTTGTGGTTCTTCAAACATTGCCAAATATGTTTCATAAATGTTTGATAAGCAGAAGGTAGTTCATCAAACACAGCTCTCTGTCCCAGAGGAATAATTAATTTTCCAAACCCATTAAGCTAATCACAATAATTTTGAAATGTCGTTAATATTTCATAGTATTTTTGTGCACATTTTCTGAAAAGTAATGAGCACAAATCTGTTGGAGGTAACTGACAGACATGAGAGCGGCAGATCTGGATTTACAGTAATATAGTCGCTGTAACAATATGCATCAGGTTTTATCCACACCCTGATCGTCTTTTTTAAATGCATCCATACTATTTAAACAAGGCAGTAATTACTGGAATAATATCAATGATAGTCGCACAAGAATTTGGATTTTAAAGCTTTGATATAAATCTGTTTAGATAGAAATCTAAATCTTTTTTGAGTTACTTCTTTACAGTTAAGTTAGAGTTCCATTACTATGACGATACCTATGTCACTAACCTACACTAACACTTATCTAGGACAGAAAAATATTGGAAGAGGCTGACTTACTCTTGGGAGCCATAATGAAGGGCAAGAAGGTCCCAAGAAACAACACAAACAAAAGAAAGTTTATGTAACACAATCCATCGTAGGTCGAGGATGTGGTAAACCCATGTGCTAACATCTGTCAGGGCTTCAACATTTTTAAAGAAACATATCATAATCACATCTCATAATATTTGATAATAACATCTTATATTATGTGTCTTAGCCTAGTGTGTGTGTGTGTGTGTTTGTGTGTGTGTTTGTTATTTGGGGGCCGTAGGTCACCAAAAAGTCTGGAGCCTCCTCTGACCTGAACTGCGCGTCAACAGTTCAAACAAGTCTTCGAAAACGTCCTTTCCTCCATTCGCCTGTCATTATTGTTTACCTCCCCTCTAATGAACACACTCAGGGTGTTTCCTCACCTCCTCCACCTCCTCGGAGTCGCTCATCTTCCTCATGTTGCCCCTCATGCAGCCCCGCCCTGCAGACGCGCACCGACACCACGCAGTTGCGTAATTTGACAAGGGAGCACAAAACAGGCGAGAATGGAGAAGTGACAGCCGCCGCCGTCGCTGCTGCCGCTGGTGGTGCACAATATTTACAAAGCTGGAAAAACAGATAGTCAGGAGACACATATGTGTGATATATCTGGATGACAATCCGCTCCATCTGCCTCCATGGCTGCTGCTGTGAGGAATAACCATCACAATAACCGTAATAACAACCCCGGTGTTTGGGCTGCTCCCGGGCAGGACGCGGCTCCGGCTCTGACAGCGGACACTCGGGGAGGTGAGACCCACGGACAAGTGGCGAGCAGCAGCAGGGATGTGATCCAGGGAACTTCGGGATATGAGGATTACACTGTGGTAAGAAGAGACTGCATTTATTTACCGTCCTGCTGCACAGATGCACATTGGTTTGGTGAACCTAACGGGTAAAGTACAGGATGGTTTATTATTACAGTGGGATAAATCTAGTAGTAAAAATAGGCCTTGAATACTCTGTGTACTGAGTGGCATAGTACTAGGACTAAATATCTGTGTTTGGACGTTTTTATTGACGGTGGAAGTGTTTGGATAGTGTTCATGCATACATGCACTGATGAATGCACGGCTGGAAGTCTGGTGACGATATAAGGCGGGTTTTGTTTGTTTGTTTGTTTGTTTATTTGGACAAACAGCCGAAACTTGTTTGGAGATGCATATCAGCAGCGGAGTATCTGGATTTTCTAATTTCAGCCTCCTGTTTCCAAACAGGTCCGACTGGTCCTTCCTTAAAGGGCGTTTTTGCGGCTATGAATTGGGGGGGGTGTTAAACCAACTGGGATGTTGGGATGTACTGCATATAACTTTATTTATTAGTAAAAGGAAAACTAGTTTTGTTGTTTTTTTTAAAGGACTTAAATACAATCTTTATACTCTTACCTTTTTAACGTGTCATTCATTTTTAAAATGTACCCTCGCAATTCAAGAAAGTCAGGAAATACTGAAATAATATCAGTGAAATATGTAATACAAATTCACTACCACACACACTTTACAGTAGTGTACAAAAGTTTTCACCCACTAACTGACCTATTTAGAATACTACAACACACACACATATGTATCTATCTATATATATACATATGTACAACAGTTATAAAATATATAATGTATTACAGTACACACCGTCACACACTTTCTTAGCTTCAAAACTTCACTGAACTTTATTTAAAGTTCAATTCAGTGAAAAAGTACAAAACTATCAATTTATACTTTTGCCAAAAATAAACAAAATAATGTAATTGAAATGCATTTGCCGTGTCCTTTATAAAGGTCCGTGCCCAACTTTGAGAACCACAGAGCTGCCATATTCTAAAACTTTTTGTGTGTGTGTCTGTTTTTTTAATGCTCTGCAAAACATTACATTTTGATCCTTGTTTCTTTAGGTCACTTGGTCTATTTGGGTGCAAAAAACAAGTAAAACTAGTTCATCTGGTTTATTTAGGGCCCTTTACTAATCTGGCCCACATCTAGCCCTTCAGCTGGACAGAAAAAACCCACTCTGGCGAGGTCTACAACCTGTGTGGGCTGACACACAACAACCTGTCACCTAGGTTAGAAGAACATTTCAGTTTATAACCCAGATTCTGGACACCATATGTGGGTCTGTAGACACATGAGACGTAGACCACTTAAGTCTCATAGTTATAGTAGGCCAGACTAACTGCCATGTCAGAACTGTTTAATCTGATCTGTTTTCATACAAATGTGGTTTAGAGTTGAATAACCAGAAAACATTTGTCTGTATATGACGCACTGAAGTGGTAACGACGGACAATGTCTGCTCATGTTCTCCAGGGTAAATCGGATATGGACAACTACCTGTCTACTCAACCACAGCCCGTAGTCAATTCCAAAATCCTGTGTAGGGAGGGCGCTCCGTTGCCTGAGCCCTTTTTCCTTGAGGACTTCTCTTCTCCGTACAGCGTCAACATGAGTCTGCTCCTCCCAGACATCACGTACCTACACCCGGGAGTCTGCAGGACCGTGAGACAGATCAAACCCGAACCGTCACACTCCCTGATGCCCTCGGCCTGTCAGAGCACCAGGGTAGAACCGACGCTCTCAGCTGCCGTCGACGCACCGAGCGGCAACTTTTTCATCAAACAGGAAGTGTCAGATTTCCAGGATGTTCCTCTGTTTCAACTTTTGAACTCAGACTTGGAGCAGCTCGTTCATGGGTCACCGCTGAACTCCGTCCCCATGGTTCCAGTGAGTCTTCCCAGTGGGAACGTCCATGTGAACACGCAGCAGAATCCTTCCAAGACCACAAACAGTGAATGTTTTCAGTTCAATCAACGTCAGCAGCAGCGACCAACCTATCTGCCACCTTCTCCACCAAACTCTGAACCTCCAAGTCCGAACAGGAACAAGGGGCTCCTTCACAATTTCACCCCGCCTCCTTCCTACGAAGCCACCATCGCATCGAAACTAACTTTCCACACCCAGAATTCCTCGGATCAGTCTGCCAGTGTAGCTCCAGTTCAAGGCACAGACCAGAACTCTGGTGTCAGATCAGTCCAGAGCCCTAACGTAGGCCCGACCCAGGACTGTGGCCTGACACCGGTTCAGACGACAGCAGGTGTTGGACCACTGTCACCAGTGTTGGCCCAGTCAGCTCCAGTCAAGTCCAACAGAAGGACAAATCCTGATCTGGAGAAACGGCGGATTCACCACTGTGACGTCCCAGGTTAGACTAACTCTGACTTTATCTGACTGACACCTGACAGAAACACATCCTTTAAATATTGTCATTTTTCACTGTTTATTTTTATGTTGGGGTGTAACCGTGACAAAAATGGTTACACTATTTAATAAAAATCAAAAAAAGGAGGTGCTCTGAGCATGGCACCGTGCCCACACACTGCTCCCCGCTCACTTTGGTGATGGGTTAAAAGCAGAGGTCACATTTGTTTGTTCTGACAGCGAGGCTAGTCTGGGCTAACTGCTAACTAAAGTAAAGTTCCTGGAAGCAGTTGAGCGATGTGCGTGAGCAGTAAAGTGCTAATGTCTAGTCACAGTTGACTTGTGTTCTGCTCTGTGTTACCATGCTTACATTCACCACATTTTAAAAATATATGGTTTCACTTGGTTTAAAAATGAATACCAAGTCAAAGATACATTACTGAACAGTTCCTTGTGATTACACCTGCAGTTACAGCTCTGGTGTATCTGCGTAATAAAAAAGCTGAGTGTTTTTACAGTTGTTTGATTTTGTCACTTTGCGTGACATGACTAGCCTGGAAAACCATAAAAAAATCTCTAACAGAATTTGTTAGAGAAAGTGGTGCTGTAGTTTAACCTCTAACCCTATCCGTTTTGATGAAAACAGCTCAAAATGGTTAGTCCTACTCTTTTTCGGTATCTTATTTGGCATTGCTAAAAAAAGGAAATATAGACTTTTTTAACGTAATAATTTCCCTTCAAATTTACCAGTATTTAATATGTCTTCTCTTTGCAGGATGTAAAAAAGTATACACCAAGTCATCTCATTTGAAAGCCCACCTACGGACCCACACAGGTAATTTGTGTTTTTGACTCCTTATTCTTAATTTGGGGGCGTGAAAGTGTCGAGTGTTGCCGGGCAGAAAAAATGCTCTTGGCTCGCAGCTGCATTCTGTCTACTGACAGACCTGGCCCACATCTCAGGGCTGTCAAATCACATAAACCCCGCCGCTCTCATAAAGCTGGGACAGGGAGAACGACAGGACACGCTGTGATTAATGACCCCCAGCTGAGGCCTCAATTCTGTCCTGGTTTTTTTTTTCTGTCTTTATCAGAACTCTTTCATTTGCCTTTTGTGATATGATTAATGCAGTCTTTATTTTTAAATAATGGCTTTTTACCTAATTATTAGCCTTTAAGCCCTTTTTTCTAATTATTACACAGATTTTTCTGATTAAATTAAATTCACGTTTTCTAAACGTGAATCCCTTTTCAGGCGCATAAATTATTTATTTACACAGAAATGTTCCGAACCTCTTTTCGATTGTTCCTTGTATTTCCTGAAGGGGAGAAACCGTACCGGTGCTCCTGGGAAGGATGTGAGTGGTGCTTCGCCCGCTCCGACGAGCTGACCCGCCACATGAGAAAACACACCGGGGCCAAGCCTTTCCAGTGTGCCGTGTGCAGCCGCTGCTTCTCCCGCTCGGACCACCTGGCCCTGCACATGAAACGACACCAGCGTTAGAGAAAAGATCCTAAATCAAGTACATTTACAGAAAAAAAGGGACATAAAGACTTAAAGATTTTAATTTGAATTTACTGTAAAAAGTTTTATTCTGTGTGCATCTGAATACTCTGGGCATTTTCTAAGATATTGGTTTAAAGATTATAGAACAGTAATCATTGATTACAGAATATTGAATTTTTTTTTATTATTCTTTTAGTTTTTTTTTTTTTTTTTACTGCCGTAGACTCTTCAGGAAACATAGCGATCACTGATTGTTACAGTTCTCAATGTACAGATTGTACCAATGAAATAATGAATATAGACTTCTATTTAATCGCCATAATAATGAACTGCCATATTATTCTCATTAAATACTGAAAGGGAGCAAAAGTAAATCAAACAATGGAGCGATGACGTACAGGAAGCAACAGAGCAGACAGAATTTCAGTGACCTGGATCAGACCCACATCAGGGGCTACATCTGGAATGTTTGGTTCTCAGTCCATTAGTGGTGAAATTTTATAAAAAACAAATTAAAATATTTTTTAAAAAGTGTTTCATTAGAACACAATTATTACACTCATACAACATAAGTGACTCATGTTAAGAACGGTCTCCGTAAAAGAGCTTCACTTTGGTTTTTAGACGAGGCAAAAAAAAAGCAGGATGTGACTAGCTGTGAACGTGGCTCAGCAGAAACCTACAAAGGAATTCTCTGATAGAGACACCACTGCAGACGTGTTAAAACGTACAAAAAAGAATTTACCTCACTCCTGCAGAGTCTCCTGACATTAGTCCTCCACGGCCGACTGTCCAACCAGGACGAGGTCCAGTACTCATGTGCTGATAGAAACCCACTTCTGGGTCACGACCCACCATTTGGGACACACTGTCCTAAAAGACAAGGTAATTTTAGAGAGATAGAGAGAGAGACAGATTAAAGTAACTGGTATTTTTGAGGATTTAGTCAAATGTTTTTTATTTGTAATTTTGTTGATTTACTAAATGCTCCAGTGACTATTATACTAAAGAGAAAGTGTCCCGCTGTTTCTGGTGATTTTAGGTGATTTACACCCAGATTTGTCAGCTTGGCTGCATGTCATCTGCACAACAACATAGCAATATGCCACTTCTCTGTAAAGTCTGTAAATCTGTTCAAATACAGTTTAGAGCGCTCAGCACTGGGTGACATTTCAGTTTCAGGTCAGACGTATAGAAATTTAAATATTAACTTCTGTCTTCAGAGGTTGTTATCAGAGACAGTTTGACGTTCACTCATCTCGACTGCCCTCAGATGTGTGTTCGTCTCCTAACAGGATTACGACACCGTGTCACAGACGCTGTGTCGTCCTTGAAGTGCTTTCAAACATCTCTCTTTGAATCCAAGAGTTTTCTGCTTTTACACCAGTGTCTGACTGAGCACCTGCCAGTCTGAACATCTGTGAGAGCTTCTCTCCTTCTTTGACGACGCTCCGTCTTTTCAAACACCTCAGAAAGTGCCTTTAACTGTGTGGCTTCCTTCTTTTGTGCCGGATGAATGGAAAAAAACAAAGCTGAATCCTCCGGGATACTGTTCTCTTATCTGCACTTCAGCTTTTTTTGAGTCTATACTGTATGTTGGCAGACACCACTGTTCTCTTATCTGCACCTCAGCTTTTCCAACGTGAGTCTATACTGTATGTTGGCAGACACTGCAGCCTGGATTTACATACTGTGTTCCATATGGGTTTGTCTGGAGCTTCTGTTTAAACAGTATTCTTTTGTCCTAATGTAGCCTGAACAAATATGGACAAAACTTTATTTTGGACACATATGCATTTCTAACTGGACTTATGACCAAATATGGGCATATATTGGATTTTATCAAAACATTTTTTATTTCTAATATTTTTTGGTGTGTTTGTTGTTGGACACAATTGCCTTATTGTATATATTTTATTTATTGTTTTATTGTTAGTAATATATCCTGGCAGATTCTACGTAAGACTTTTCTGAAATATGGTGAAATAGAGCAGCTGAGTGGGTGAAGTTTGTGTGAGAAAGTTGTTTTAACGCAGTAAAAATGATCTGATTTTTAAAAGTAACTGATGCGTTGAATTATTTGTGTAAACTTGTTTTTTTTAAGCTTCAAACCTTGGTTTTCATTTTGAATCTTGTTCTAACAATAAACGGTTTGTGTTGACAATAATCATGATACATGACTGTAATCAATATCTGATGTTCAACTCGATGACGCTCAGAACATTAGCATTCCCAGTGAGAATGATAGTGGTTTTGACGACAATTTTCTGTGGTTACACATGCACACAAACATAAATACATTAAAAAAAAAAAAGCTAAGGCAACCAGAAACAATAACAAAGTTAGCAAAAAAAATTAGCCATCAGATAATCAAGCTAAGACATACTGTAGATGAGCTTAGACTATGCTAACTGCTAGCCACTTACCACATAATTCAAATCTGGCCAAAGAACTATTTTGTCAAGAAAAAACTAAATGTATGCCATGAAAGCTTTAAGTTGTGAAGAATGTTGTAAAAACAAAATAAAGGTAAAAAACAAGAACAGTACGTAGTTAAGTAAGAGCGAGCAGTTAGCGCAGTTGGTAAAACTGCCTTTTAAATTACTTTAGAAAGTATTTCACATGGGAAAAAGGCAACATAAAAAGCAGTGGTTTTATAGAATAGTAACACGTGACCGACTTTCAGATTCAGAGATCTGTTAACACAGTACAGGATCATCTAGTCTGTTGATTTAATTCCTTTTAAAAAGTCCTGGACATGAGTCACAGCAGAGGCGATAACAAAAGCTGTAGAGACCAGAAAATCTGCACCGACCAGAGAAGGTGTCTGAGCTTGTTCTCCATGTGTGAATTCTACTCTGCTTTTACTGTAGTACTCTGTTACCATACATAGTGCAGCACTGCATAACAGTAAGAGAGGGGCCGGTGTGAGTGATAAATCACTCATGTGATACACTGGAGCACAGAAATGCTTACAGCCGAGTGGGAATTGCAGCCTTGTTATTGTAATCATCGGAATCCGTTTACTGGCAGACAAACACATTCATCCAGATCCATTTATAATAGAGCAGTGTACTTTACTGTACTGTACACGGTGTGCAGGGCGTTTTCTCTGTAGCAGTAACCTGTTGGGCTATGTTTAAACATGCTACGCAGGACTGTGAGTGAGGTAAGATTAGGAACAACAGAACTTGACCTAGACGGTTGAAACGTGAGGCTTTGCAAGGATGTTGGAATCACTGAGCAACTCTTTATATATGGACACCTTTAGCTTAAAGGACAGTAGACTCAAAGAGGCAAAAAAGTCAAGTGGTGAGAAATTAACTTATAAATAGCCATTAACATCATTAAAAAGGAATCCAAAAATATCCAATAAGCTAAGACCAAGAGATAGCAATAGCAAAATGCATCTTTGCCCGAATCTATAGATTGATGGAAACTGGTAGATAACTGTTCATTTGTAATACGACAAATGAAAAGATAGATTTACCAACTGGTAGATAACTGTTCGTTTGTAATACGACAAATGAAAAGATAGATCACATAGTGTGCCTTTAAGTTGCCAGAAAAAAAGTTTAGCCCCAGATTAGCCATAAATAAAGCAAAAAAAAAGTAAAAAAAAAGAATTCTGTCACTGCAAGTCATGGCAAAAATATTCCACAATAAATACAAAAATAGCCCCAAAAATACCTAGAGTGTCACCAGAAAAGGTAAGGTTTGCTGAATATGGCTAAGCATTAGCCTACAGCTAGCTAAGGTTTAACCAGAATGAGCTAAAATCATCAACTAAATATCTCTTCAACTTTAACCAATCAGTTTTAGTTGAACAAATAACACTAAAAACTGAATAAATATTTAAAATTGAAAAAAAAAAATCCCAGTTAAAAAACGAATATGAATAAGTTTGGTCTCCAGAAAATGGTAGCATGTAGCAAAGCAACAAACCTTCATGCCCATCACAAACATTGAAAAAGCTAAATGCTGAGTCCACACCTGTGTACATACAAAATGCAACTTTATTAACCTTCATGCCTCCATTCATATTAATATACATGTATATGTTTGAACGTATTTAAATTTCACAGCTCCATCCATATGAAAAATACAGAGAAAAAGGCAAAAACACTGACTGGATACTGAAACAACTGTTAGAGAAAAAAAGAAAAGTGTAACAGAAGGAAAATAAAAAGACACCTGTTCTTGAATTTCTGAAAAATATCAGGATTAAAAATTTGTGGAATTTCCATGAGCAAAGTCTCCCTTTTGAAAAGCGACGCTGAGCAATATCACAATCTGTCTTTTTTTTTTTTTTTTTTTGTACAGTAAGAATGAAAAGATCTGAATATTTATATATATGTACACTACACTCACTTTACATAAATACAGGAACAACGATTACTGTACGTAATATCAGCAAAACTTCAAACATAGGCATTGGCTTCACTACTCAAAGGAATTCTCAAAAGCAGGGAAACAGAAGCAGATGTTAAAAAGAAAGTCAAATAGATATAGAACAGATAGAAAGTTTGAGATCAGTCATTCATGATCAAAGGCATTAAAGGATTCCCATCCACAGGGGGTTTTCCTGCGAGTAAGATTTTTGTTATAAACTAAATGGAACTGTTTTGTGCTGCAGCTGGAACATGAACAGCCTTTGTTACACTTTTGTTCCCAGCAGAGGAAAAGAATTACGCATTTATTGCAAGCAAAGTGAAACTGTGAGTGACAAACAGTCGGTGAACGCAGTTGTGGAGGATCCCGCCTTGGACAATATAACATAAGGCTCAGTGCGAAAAAAAAAAAAAAAAACATTAGAGGTCCGACTTGCATGTTGTTGTCTGTGCTTTTCCTTAAAAAAAGGAAAGAAAAAACACACCAAAAAAACCCAAACTCCAAATTTACAATTTTTACTTTGAAAATTTAACAATTTTGAGCAAAGACAAGCTGTAAATTGAACAGCCTGCACAGAGCAGGAGATGTTTTGTAATGTGAGGCACTATTTATTATTATTGCATAACTTTGACCCTGGTTACCGTTACAAAATTATGCTTCAAAGCAAGGAAAGAGAAATGATGAAAAGCGAAATACAATTCACCCTGTCCTGTGGAGACACTGACTTCAAGTTTTAGTTCAATTTTTCTTAAACTGAAGTATTAAGGCATGCAAAGTCGTACTTTAGAAGAGGACACATGTTGTGCACATGTGCTCTGTCACAAAAAAAAAAATGTTCAGGTAGGAAAGTGACAATACAGGGAGTTGAGTACCTTCATTCAGTCAATGTATTTGAATTTTATTTTTATTTTTAAAAAATGGACGTAGACATGGGTTTGCAAAATGCAGCTTTAACATTTGACTAAATGTGATCTGTTGGATTTGGAAGTAAAATCATTTTTATTATAATGTGTTATAAAAAATTAACAATCAAGCAGAAATACTACGTGTGCGTGAAGGTACTGTGTATCTAACTGTTCCTTTTGATGCAAAAGTTTACCAGTGTAAACTTGAAGGATAAATGTTAGAATCACGTTAAGTTTGCATTTTGGAAACTTACAGCACCCCGAAAAATGTAGCTTTTTATAATTCAGTTCTATTGTTAACTTTTGAATGCCTTCTATCGTACTGCTGTGGCAAACAGCCGAACAGCAGCTGAAACATAAAGGCAAATCAGTACAAATTCTGGGGTTCCAGAAGCTGATGGAAAAAATGTTTGTGTTACTGTAAAAGTAAGAGCTAGCTCCTGGTTTAACAGACAGCTAAGCAGAAAAACAGTCAATCGTACTGCTGCTAGTAGGCAAGGTAGACGGTTCTCCATGTTGGATAAAAAATAGAGGTGAAATATTATATTTAGAGCTACCAATGCCCCTGTGCCTGGACAAACACACATCAGTTAAGTTTTCAGCAGATGAATGCTTAAAAAAAGAAAACAGGGAAATGTGACTGTTAAGAGTTGCTGGTCATCGTCACTGTACAGGCACAGAGGCATTACCATTGGAGTAAGTCTGGACCATATTTTCTTTAGAATAATTATGTGCCTAATTGACTCGTGGACCCTTTAAATTGATTCCTTCTAAATCCATCAGAGCACCTTTGGTTGTTGTCCTTCCAAGTTTCAGTTTTATGACCAAACATGTAGCTTCGTCCATTTCTTATTGAGAATCTATGATCAGAGAAGACACCGGTTCAGACGTGGGAATAAACAAGATTTGATCACCAACATATAAACACCTAAACCAAAACAGAAAGACCTGTTCCATACATACCACCACACACAGTATGACAATTTACACGTGGAATTCCATGAGCCCCATTTCACTGTATACCAAATTAGATAAATTACAGTCTCTGAAAAAAGACTTTACATGTATAAACGTTTCTCCTGCATCTACGAATCAAAAGCCCTATTTTTCCGATGTATATACAGGATGTAGATTTTTGTAATAACTCTCATCTTCACTATCACATATATTACAACATTTTCAAAAGATTTTTTTTTTTACATAAGGAAAACAAAAAGAGTTATATGCAATGATGAAGTGCCCCTCAATCATGAAAACGATCTCATGTACTATAAGGATGATATACTATATATTTAATATGATGTTGATTATTTGTCTTTTAAATCGACATCTGAAATAAAATAAGTTTTAATAATAATACTAAACAAAACAAGGTGCTGAAATGCCAAACAAACATTAATACAACTGGGTATAGTATAATGAGGCTGAGCTCAAATGATAACCATAAATAATAACATCATTCTCCATTGAAACAGAGTGGGTGTCCCAGTCATTCAACTTCCTGGACTGAATTGTGGGACGGAAAAAAGGAAGAGTTTGTGTGTGACATGACTTTGTGAAACATTCAGGTCCATTTCTGGCATTGGTACTGACTTTGTGGACCACCACCAAAACAGAACGCTGACCAACACCTGGCCCTAACGAGGTCAACCCTTGTTTCTGTGACTCTGTTTTCAAGACGATGTGCTGAATTTGGTTAAGGTATGCAGGAATGTCCTATAAATATAGACTTTTTACAAACAATAACCACCTCAGTCATTTCAGTTGGTAACCAGAAGTGTTAAGTGGTGTGTTCACTTGCTGGCAGGAAATGTTGATGGGTGAAAATGGTGAAATAGACTGCAGCCCAGAGCTTACTGCAAGAGAGAAAGAAAGGGGGAAAGAACTGCAGCGGGGTGGAGGGTCGGGATCAGTACTGAGGTGCAGAAGATTACTGGAGCCAAGGGTATAGTATAGAATATATAGTTTAAAAAGAAACTGTGTTGATGTTTCAACACGGGTTGATGTTTTGCATTAAAGACTTACAATGACAAAATCAGGGGTGTACAGCCCCACGAGGAGTTCAATTACCAGCTGTTCAGTCCTATTGAACCTCTGTTATTCACTGTTTGAATTATGAATATATTTGGTTTGGTTAGTAGTTAAAGGAGTTTTAAAAGGAGCTTCACTAGTTTCACAATATTTGATTTTCAGAGTGGTTAAGAAAGCGCACTTGTGTCCAGAAGGTTGCAGGTTTGAATCCACCAATCATGAGGTGCACTGAGCATGGCGTTGTCTCACACTACTCCCCGGGAGGTCAGCTTAAGCAGAGGACAAATGTCATTGTATGCAGTGGTGTGCTGTGCATCAATGAGAATGATTTACTCTAACTAATGAAGCAGAGCATTAGAAACTCAGAAGCATTAGCAGCCTCTGTAGTGTGAAGAAGCTATACATGCTAACCCCAAAAATTCCTATGTAAAATGTTGGCTAGGGTTAAGCTTTAAGGTTCTGCTGAGGCTGTACAAATGAACGGAACATCTGTTCAGAGTCATAACAAAAACAACTGCGCAAACCAGTGCATGTGTGTGTGTGAGTGAGCAATGAATGTTTTATCAAAGTGTTTTCTTCTCAAGGTGCAATTATCACCAAAGTTACCACTTCCTTTACTGGCTTGGGTCCAAAAAATACATTTAGCAGCACAGTAAAATGATACGAGCTGAACTGATGCCTCAGGTTTTTATGTCTGAGGTTTTACCTCAGCATAGAGACGTGGAAACACCTGCAGACACTGTACGCTTCGCACTTTGAGCGTTAAAATACTTGAAGTAAACTTTTGACTGAGGGCTAAGTGAACGCTGCCAGGAACTCAATTTTAAAACAAGGATTTTCTGCACCCAGTGTAACACGTGAACTGTGTACATGTGTGCATAAGCCTAGAGCAAAGTTTAAACCTGATTTAGAAATACAGTGTTTAGGAATGAGAATCAGAGTTGAAAGAAACCTTTGATGTCCCACATTTGAGTTAGTGAACAAGCCCAAAACTCGCCCTTCTGACAGAGTTGATAGAAGTTATTTTACACCATTAAGGTGGTAAATACTGTGATCCTGTGTGAGCAATTATTGCAAAAGATGGTTGGTTCTGATGATAATCAAGACTTATGCGCTCTGGAGTACAGCTGTGAATCTGCACAAGGCCAACACCACTGTTAACTGAAGGAGATCATAAAACACTTGTGGTCTGAGGGGATAGAAAGTTTGAGACCAAATCAAATCAAATCTAAAACACAGGTGATTCATGGAGCAGAAAGGTCACCTTTTACTGAATGTATTGCTTCTCTGTGCTGCACTTCACAGTCAACATCTGAAATATCTGCAGGAAAACGGTGAAGTAGAAAAGTAAGAAAAAAATGAAGCTGTGGGCAAAACCAAAAGTGTCAAAATGCTGTGCAAAAAGCACCAAACACGAATTCCCTTTTCCTGTCCACCCCAGAGCTGAAGAGAGAATTCAGAGCGTGAAAGCAAGTGTCAGTAAGGTGCCTGTGTTGTTGTGTTCTACTCTACACATTATGATTGTTTTCAGAGTTCACTGTACACGAGGGGCTGTTTTTTAAACATAAGCAAAGAGCAGGCGTTAAAAAAAGAGAAGAAAAAAATTAAAGGTAAAGTAACAAAAACATTGTCATACTGAAAGTATATTAATCCTTTAAGATTGCACTTTACTGATTGCTAATCACAGCACGAAAATCAACCAAAGATTTTAGGACTCAATGTTAAGAATCAATGTTAACTGGCCGGGAGGGTGAATGAGTGAGTCTTGGATGGTGTGTTTTGTTGGCGTTGAGTTGACGTTTGAGTTAGTCTTCTATCGTTTCTAATAAAACAGAGAGTCTCAAACACTGAAGGTAGTAGATGATGGTGATCCAGAGGTGGTGTTTATTTCTTCTGGGTGAGAAATGGTGGAAAGCTTTTTTTCCCAGAGAAAACAGCAGAACTCAACAAGGGGGGAAAAAAAGGAAAGAAAATCAATCCGTGGTCAAACAGCGCCCTCTGCTGCTCAAGAGTCAGCACCAAAGGAAAAACAATACTGCCTGTAGCTCCAATTATAGGCCCTCCATGATCCTTTGCAGCGGCCTGCGTCCGTGCTTAAGCTCTTCTTATTAATTCCATTCACTGGTGTTCTTGTTTTTTCACATTATGAATGCTGGAAAAAAGCAGCGAAGTATGAACTTAGAAGGAAAAGAAAGATGGCAAAAAAGGATGGTGGTGATTGCATTTTTTTTTACCTTTTATCCAAATAATAGAGTGCCAGTTCATTAAAAAAATCAAAGTGAAACATTTATGAACAGTGCTTTAAAGACAGTTCACTATCAGGCTCCACCAACAATAAAAATATCCTTCCAACCCACGTAGGACCCAGAAGTGACCCTGTTTGTGCTCCACAAGCTCCGTGCACCTGAACGTCTTCTCTGACCGATAAGAGTGTGTGTGTGCATTTTACTGTATAGGTGTATAAGTGTGTGTTTGGGTATTGTATGTGAGTGTGTATGGGTTAATGTGTGTGTGTGTGTGTGTGAATCCAGGCCAGCTGAAAGACATTCACAGGGAGAACCCGCTCCCCCGGCTGAGCCGCCTCAGTGTAAGTGTGTATGTATGTGTGTGTGTAACTATGTATATGTGTGTGTGTGTGTCTCTTCCTCCCCTCTTTTGCTTCACTTTGCTTCACTGTCTGTTTCACACCAGCATATGTCTCCGTCGGTGCAGAGCCAAGTGGTCAGATCTGGAGAAGCTGCGGTCACAGTCTGCACACTTGAAGGGCTTCACCCCAGTGTGTTTCCTGTAATGCCTGGTCAGCTCGTCGGAGCGGGCGAACTTCCACGTGCAGCCGTCCCAGGTGCATTTGTATGGCTTTTCCCCTGGAGTAGAGCAGAGAAAGAAAAAGAAATGGAATCTCCTCTCCCAAAGTTTCTAAACTTCTATGTCAAACATTAAACCTTCTTTTTAAATATGGCTTTGCTACATATATTAGACACAGTCTTTTTAATAGATTTCATACTTGATTTCATAATGGTCAGATTCATAGCTAAAGACAAAAAAGAATATTGGACAGTTAAACAGAGAGGTGAATTTGAAGGCATATTTAATTCCTACTGAGCTCAGAACTCAACAGGAGCTTGGGTTACAATCCCCTGATGTTATTTTGAAGTGTGTATTCCTGCCCCAAGAGGAGAAACAGTTGACCTTTGGGTCAAAATGTCCAGCCAGGCTTACATAGAAAATCAGACTCTCATTTTTGCAGGTTAAATAAATGTAGGCTTGAATATAGCAAAAAATTGTTGATTTGATTAAATTCAAATTTGATTGAAACACTGTATAGAGTCAGGTGACACACACAGGAGATAATGTTCAGTAACAGGTAAACACAACCCAAAATACTTTAGCATAAGCTAAAAATATATGCTCCAAAACAGATATAGGTTAGCTGAACATGTAAACATTAAAAAAAACAACAACTAAAAACAGTGCTTAAAATTGGGATTACAGACAATCAAAAGAAATACATAAAATGTCTCTAAGATAGTTATATTGTTTGATAACAATGTGCTGCAAATCTTGTACCTGAAACCATCTCCTGAATTCTGATAAACTGGACCAACACTGGAATAGAAACTATTTACTTCCAACCCTTGATACCCACTCTGGACCTCGGTCCTCGTCTGACTGACCTGTGTGTGTTCTCCGGTGTGCTTTTAGATGAGAGCTTTTGGTGTAGACCTTATTGCAGCCCTCAAAGTCACATCTGTGGATTCTTCTCTTCTTGGAGTCTGGAGACTCTGACCTCCGGGGGCGCCGTATGCTGTCAATACTGAACGGTGACATGGAGCTGAAAAAAAGAAATAAAAATACATCCAGTTAGTTTTGATAATGTCATTTTTACAACACTATCTTAACAACAGAGGGCAACACTTTCAGTGATACCAGTACAATAATTACAACTGTAACTGCATTATGACAGAGAGTTAACAATATGATCATGTTTGTATCAATACTACTTAAATTAAATCAGTCCGTAAAAGGCATAGATTATAAAGTCAGAATGTTAAATAACAGGAATTTAAATCTGGAAACTTTTAAAATTCACAATTTAAGGTGGAAAGAGGTTAACGTCACCAGTAGGGGGCAGTGCAACCCTGCCAAAAGCATTTACATCCGCATGTACATCCGCATGACATTCTTATTGTCCAGACTTTTATCAGCCAAAGCAGGAAACAGTTTCATTAGTAATGTCTTAAAGTCGGGTCAAAGACTACTGAGACACTGTTACTTTGAAATGTCTTCTCCAATCACACAATACGACAGTTAATTGTTTCCTTTGTCAAAGACAGCGGTCCACTGTAGTCCAGTCCACTTTTATGTGTTTTGTAGGCCAGTGTTTCCTCATTAGAGTGGTATGTGTGTGTCTTGTTTTCTTTCTCTCTTTTTCTGCAGTGGAAGTAGTAGCTTTAAAATCTTTCGTCATTCTTTTTTTGTTTGTTTGTTTGTTTACAAACATCATGTGTTGGAATGTGACCCAAATTCAACGGTGGAAGATTTTCCTTTTTACCTTTCACTTTTTTTTCCCTCTATTTTATCTTTACTCATCTCTAAGCTACTTACATTTTGGATATAAACATATATATATTCTTTGTAATATGTAGCCATCTTTGTTTGTCTTCCACAGCACATTTGGCTAATGTTGTTGTTGCTATTTAGTAGCTTGTTTGGGTGAGCTTTTAGATACTGTTTCACTAATATTTAGCTACTAAAAGAGACTTTTAAACCTGCTTTGCTAATCCTAAAATTATTATTAACATGTTTTTTAAAATCGGAGATTATTTATAGAAATATGTAGGAATTATTACTTTTTTTTAATTATTATAACAAAGCTAAAAAAGAATTGTTAGCAGCTTAACAGGTTTTGTCCGGGCTGATTCTAATTTAATTACATTAAGCTAACTGTACGAAGCTAAGAGGAAGAACTTGGAGTAAATTCATATAGAATTCAAAGTAAAAATCACATGACACACACACACACACACACACACAAACACTACAGCCAGGAAACAACAGCGCCTCTGTTTCGAGGCTCAGTAGAATTATCTGTAGGATACAGTGTAACTGACATGCTTCCCTCTCAGTTTCTGCGACAGAGATTTAGACAAAGTCGGAAGCTAAAAAAAGAAGTAAAATGTCTAGGGAGTTTGTACGAAAGGCAGACTCCTCATCTGTCTGTCTGTCTACACCACACTGAGGCCACTTCCTGTCGATACTTCATTCCCCAATGACTCACTCGTCAAATGTATAGAATCTGAGATAACAGAATGTGTAGAATCAACGTGCACCGGTGTACACAAGAGCTGCACAAATACTCCGAATCAGGGGAGAAAAACACACATCACTTGTTGCTCTTGGCCCAAGGCCAACGTGCTGCTGAAGAGGAAGTGAGCACATGGGTGAGACACCAGGTGAACCTTACCTCCCCTCTCATTTCTCCTCCTCTCTCTACGGTGTCTGAGTTCAGGACGTACATAAAACAAAGTCTAACAAGGTCAAACTCAGCGATAAGGCAAAAAAAAAAAAACCCTGTATGTTCTGGAGTTTGGTCAAATTATGACAGAACTGAAGCATACACTACATAAAATATAAAGTGAAGACAGAGAAGCATGTCAGAGCGCTACAGACTTCACGTTCAAGGCTGAGAGACTTAATAATGTAAAAATAACTCCTGTGTGGTTCTACTGTCAACTCCAATCAGTATTGAGCAGAGGATTACAAATGAGAAGGTTCCAAAAAGATAAAATTATATCACAAGACGTTGGCATAATTGACAAAATATCTGAAAGAAAAGCAAGCAAAAACTAATAGAAAAAAGAGATTTACCTTAAATGTTTTAGAAAAGAGATTTTAAAAAAGAGCAAATGAAAAATGATGAGTGAGATCTGAAGCCTTGAGAAACAAGTTAGAAAAAGTTAGCATGTAGCTTCTAGCATGTGAAAAATGTAAATGAAGACTTGTCAAACTATAACTTAAAAACTAAATTAAAATTTTATGCAGTTAATAAAAATATAAATATGGATAGAATGAGGAAAGCGCAGGAAAAACTTTTTAAAAAATGTAGGTTTGAAGCTGCTACTGTAAAGGTTAGAAGAGAAGCTGAAATCTGAGAATAAATAAAACAACATAAAAAGTTATGATAAAACTAATGGTCATTCTAAAAAATAATATAAGATAATATAATCAAATAACCTGTATTAGGCTTAAACCACTTCAACATTAATAATAACAATAATTGAAGCAGAGCAAAACATTCACAGTTAATATTTTAGAGAATATCAAACACAAAAACATTAAAGACATTCCCTTTTCTAGTGTGTGTGTGTGTGTGTGTGTGTGTGTGTGTGTGTGGACAGGCAACAGGATTTACAGTGGAAAAACTCAGAGCCACTGTAGAGGAGGATGTTTACTTTCTGACTCGCTCCATGAATTATGACGTACAGTTATTTAAGAGGAACAGTAGCTCCAATATACATTTTCTATGCAAACATATCCATCCAACACTGCTGTATTATTATTATTCTCATTTCTTTCATTATCATTTCAGTGCTAAAATTAAGCTTTCATAGATCTCTTGTTTTTGTTTGTTTTTCTATTCTTTAATAAGATTTTTTTTTTCTTTACTTGAAAACTTATCTCGCTTTTAGGCAACTTTTAGACCAATGTCTGTATTTTGTTTTATTTGTTTTTCTTTTGTTTTTGTTGTTGTTTTTTGGCTAACCATTCTAAATTTCCATCAATTTCTCTAAAGGTGAAGGACTGATTTAGGTGGAGATGCAGTCTCCTTTTCATCCATGCTAACCTTTAGCTATTTTTGCTATAGTTGGACTCATCAATACCGTATGGATGATTGTTAGGTATATACAGTATTTGTGCCTTAGTGATAGAGGTGATACAGTTGGGCTGCTAGAGTAATACTGCCTATAAATACTGCATGTACTTTGTCAAACTTGGGTTTTCTTTTTTTGAATTTGTTGATAAAGTTCTGATTCATTGTGTTCATGTATATGTTATGAGAGGAGCAGTTGAGCCTTGAGGATCTGTTCACTGACTGAAGCCCACATTTAAAGAGCCCCCCCCCCCCCCCACCCCCCCACCCAGACATAAGCAATATGCTAAGTATAGTACAATAACAATGTACCTCTTGTCATATGTGTGTGTGAATCCATTTGATATCTTTTCATGTGAGCCCAGAGGTATATCCACACTCCACATCCTTGAACCCTGTGTCAGTTCAGCATTATTGCTTCTGCAATAGTGTGTGTCCACGTGAACGTGTGTGTGTTTGAACCTCTCCGAGCAGCTGAGAGAGAAATAGGAAGTATAGCTGAGAGCCATTTCAAACAGCATTGACCTCTGCTCAAGTTCTTTTGTTTTTGCACCATAACCCCCCCTCAGCCCCCCCCCAGACAAACACACACACAAACACTGTGTGTTACCTGTAACAGGGATTTCCCACAATACAAAACAACACATACTGTGTGTTTTTCTAACTTCTCGAAGGAAACTGGGTCATAATAACAGTTCTGACTCTATAGTAGCAGATTGATGTTGTTGCTAAACAGACCTGCGGTAAAAGTGGGATTAGGGAAAAAAACAGGAAATGGAATGTGTGTGTACGGTCACGTCTCTGTGAGTGTGTGTATGTCCGCTAGCAAACAGCCCACTGGGTCTTTCTGTACCTGTTGGAGGAAACACCTCTATCCGGTCCGTCCACCTGCTCAGTTTCTCTGCCTCCAAGTGCACAGAGAGAATCCAGACTTCAACAGTGAACACACATGTACTTTCTGGTAAAAGATGCCCTGAGACCAAAGTTCATTTAGACACACTCTCCAGGAAGACACACCGCCAGAACCCACTTCACTGAAACTCAAACAAATAGTGTTGTCTCACTTTGACAAGTTGAAAAGTCACCGCAACTCAACCAGCAACGTAAGGAGATTAAGTGACCAATCAGAGGTTGACTCCTGCCAGTGACGCAGTTACTATCCTAGGAAAAAGCTGGACTGCTTTACTCAGAGGTAAATGGTTGTAAACAACAGAGTTACAAAGCAACATAATGTGTTATTCTAATTCTATTTTACCAACCTTTCTGCTATTCTTACTGTATAAAGTTTTTGACTTTTTTATAATAGAAATATATATTGTGGAACCAAACCAGAGCTAGCTCCTGGTTAACAGTTAGCTAACTAGCTACATTCCTGCATTTGATGATGAAAATTATTTAATGAAATTTGATTTTTCATATTCTTTTTTATTGACTGTATTGCTTTCCAAACTATTCCCCATCACGGGTTTTTAAATAGAAATGATAAATGGATGTGTAACGAAAAAGAAAAAAAAAAAAAAAAAAACACCAACATCAATATGCTAATTAAAACGTTTCTGATGTGTTTTCTTCTATAATTAAAGATTGAGAAATCTACCTGGGACTTTTTTTTAAATCTAGACTCTGAGTCTTTTTCTTTCTCTAATGTCTTCCTCTTTTTCGCTCCTTTTCTCCCACAACAGCCTCTCCACTGGTCCCCAGGGAAACACATGAATATGGAGGAGGCTGCCCAGGAAGCACATGACTCTCTCTCCTTTCTCTGCTTTCACTCATTTATTTATATATGGATACCTGGATGGGAGCTGCAGGCTCCACTCCTATATCCTCCGCCCTTCTACCTCCTCCTCCTGCTGCCATGTTTTCTGGTCTACTGACTGTTAGTGTAAATATGAAAACCCACTTTCTTAAAGCAGCCCTTTCAACACACCATGTGTCGTGTCGACATCCTGGGGACGTGAGAAGTGGTTCTGGCTTCTGTGATGGTGCAAATGTCCACGGAGCTGTGTGTGAATGTTTAATGTCAAAACAGCCAAACGTAAATCCATGTACTGGGGAAACACAAGGCGTCCACAGCACAGCCATCTTTTGTTTCTCCCTGACAAACATGTGAGTCTGTGTTCCTGTTGACAATAACTGACCTCCTTCTAGAACCAGCTGTTCCGTCCACGGTGCACACACACACACACACACAGCACAAACACAAGCTGGAGGATTTACACTTGGCAATGTGAGCAAGTACTTTCTAAAAAACTTTGCACACAGAGGAGCGAGTGTCGTGGCCGCTGCTGCGTCTGCAGCCTGATTTATTATCTCCACGCTGAAAGGTTGGGTTTGGACCAACCTCTGTTCTCCACTGACCACCCGGTGCCCACGTGTGGCACTCAGGGGCCACGCCTGTCCCTTTCAATAACCTGCAGTGAAACCTGAGTACTACACAGAGAAGAAGTGCCTCACAGTGTGTGTCTGTCTGTGTGTGTGTGGCAGGCACTGGTCAAAACAGGGTTTTTCCTAATGTCGGAAAAATCTGGATTTTTTTTTCATGTCATCAGTTCAACCAACTGGATGTCTGAACCTTTTGATTGTTTTATTTAGTTTGTCCTTCTTTCAAGTATTACTTTTATTTGGCTAACCTTTAGCTACACAGCTACCTTATTTCAAACAGTCTAGCTAAACGTTTGGTCAAGTTTGAGCTTTTTCTTTGCAGACATTAAACTAGTTAGGGCCATAATTAATTAATTATCTTTCCCTTTTTGGCTGTTACTGGTTACTGGTAATATATAAAAACTTTTTTTTATCACTCTTTTTGTGTGTCTTGATTTTTTTTTTTTTGGTTAATCACTATATGAAATCACTATTTTAACAATATTTTATTGAGAAATATTTTTGCTAGATTAAGGTTTTTTAAACCAATTGTATTACCTTTTGTTAATCTTTTATTTATTTATTTATTTTACATAAGATTTAGCCAAATATTGAACGTATTTAACAAATACAATTATTTTAATTTATTTTGAATTACTTTAAAGTGAGCTACAGTTTTAGTCAGTGGGACCTGTGGTTTATTTCAGTGATTTAGTGTTTTTTTTTCAGTGATTTAGTTCACTGCACTGCAACCTAAGTTACTCTACTAATTAAATGAAAACAATTGTTATGCACTAAATAATTTCCTGGTCTAGTGTATGAGTGACCCTTAATTATAGCTATGAATCTTAGAGAGTCTGTTCTCTCAAAGGCTAACAACTCTCGTTGGCCCTTGGCTATTTTCACAAACAAGAACGCAGTGAACCAAACGGTACCATCCTAAGTCTGTTCTCTCAAAGGCTAACAACTCTTTGGGATCAACTGTGGCAGAAGAAGGGAGGGCAAAAGTGCATTCAATATTTTCCTGTTTTTGATGTCTTGCTTTTTCTGATCAGAACGGTGCAAGACGTCACCGACTAGAGAGGGAAGTCTTTTCATTCAACACAGATGGACAGGCACGGCAGGAGACGTGATGCTCGTAGGCTGAACATGGCATAAAGTACAGTATGTCTGAGCCATATGTAGTCATATAACTGCACACCCACACTCATGCATTCAGAAAAAGAAAAAAATGCACAGAAGTTCCGAACACAAGAATTTACACTTTCTCAGCTGAGGTGTCAGGGAAAACATTTTAAATCCTTGAATATTTCAGATATAAACTGTGTTTTTTCCCACCTTAACAACTTGTCTCTAAATGTATTTTTTCACGTGGATATGAGTACATTCTCATCTCCATTCTTTGTTGCTTTGTTTTCTGTTTGAATGGTACAGTAATGAAGCAGTTACCATGTCCGAGTGCTAGTCACTGAAAAACACAAAAATCGGCTTAATTTTGAATAGCTTATCTACGTACATGAGGGCCACCAGGTTTTGAGTGTAAATTAAAAAAAGATGGTGAGTCAAGTCAATGATGAGTCAGTCACTGTTGTCAATGTCAAAGTCACTAAGAAAAAGTCTGAACAAATCTAACTTACAGGCTAATTATAGCCATCAATGTCCAAGTCAAAGATGGTCTACAATTCAAATCATGTTCCCTGGTTTCCTAGTCCAACAAGGTTTGAGATGAGCTCATTAAGTCCAAGTTAAAATTGTAATGCAAATTGAATCAAGTCAGAAATTTCAGTAAAGTCCAAGTCCCATCCAAGATTCCAGTCCCTTCAGTCAGAGTCGAGTTCTTAGTATTTTCAGTCATCGGAGCTCCGGTTCAAGTCAAACACGAGTCCTAAACTTGAACACTACCACAATGGCTTCTGTAAGTGTGGGGCAAAGTGACAGTAACCTTTCACCAAACATAACAGCTGCCAACAGTGACGAGTGGCAGGATCAAAGCCATATTTCCTACATAGTTTCCTGTGACAGGAGTGGACACATTTAACAGACACAGAGGGGCGGGGGCTTTTTTAGCTTTTGGGGTCAGGAGAGGAAGGAAAAGTCAACGTGAGGATTTTTCACACTCGTGCACACATGACATGACGATGATACTCACTCTTGCACAGCCCGGGCTATAGACAGGGCAGTGGAGCCGGTCTCATTAACACTGTCCAAGGTTACGTTTGGTAGGTCGTCGTCATCGCTGTCACTCTTGATCTGCCTTGGCGACAGGCCGTTGTGGTCCGAGTGTGCTGCGAAGAAAGGACACAGACACAGGAGTCAGTCACCGGACACTACAGATGCACCGGGTTACTCAGCAGACATATCACATTGTTGTCTGAGAGTGTGATGGGTAGATCACCTGTTACTGTACACTGTCATTTCTGACACTAGTTTTAAGACTTTAAAATTCAACACTGCAGTAACTGTTTCAGGAACAAAGGAGTTGATTTTGTCACTCAGTGTTAGAATGTCTCAAAGGAAGATCCTCAGGCATCAAAAGAAGGAATCCTCCCTTTTGATTTATTTTGGCAAATTACTGATGACTTCCAGGCCAACTTTAAACCCATGCTTAGATTTTTTTTTCTTTTTTGCATTCCTTAACACATTTTTTTTATTATCTCACGAACCTATTGCACATTGGCTAACATAATGGATTCCCCCCTCTGCATTTGTAGCTTACCTGATGAATAACATTAAGCATTATTTCTAGCTAACTTTTAGCCATTTAAAAGTAGGCCAAACACTCAGCTACTACTTATATTATCTAAAGTCCTCGACTCACTGGGGCCATAAAAGCCTAAAGAGAGATTTTCTACCCAGGTTTTGTAATAATGAACTGAATATTTCAGCGTGTTTTATATATATATATATATATATATATATAAAAAAATCCCAGGAAGATAATTTGAGGGCAGACTTTTGAGGGCAGACTTTTTGGTTTGACTGGAGCTGCTTATTGATGACCCTGACACACACACACGTCCACTCACACACGCATACAGATACTTTCTGTAAAGAACTACATGGAGGATTGTTTGTTCACTTGTTCCCTTTGTGTGTGTGTTCCTTAGCATAATAACTGCAGTACAGTTAGAAGGACAGACATAACACACATCTGCATCATCCATTCACAGCTGCTTAGAATACGCGTTACCCTTGTCAGTGTGCAATTGAACCTTGACCTCTGCACAACAGAGCACAAGAGGATTAGTGGCTTTAAAAAGTTTGGATAATTCGTTATTTTGTTTACCTCAATTGCATTGGCGTTTTATTTTGGTCATTAATTTTAACAACATGAAGTAACATTTATTAAATGAATGAGGAAAAGAAAACGTGTTTTCACAAACACTGAAAACATGCAGATACAGTACATTCACCCCCTCCCACCTCACCCCACCTCACCCCCCTCGGTCCACTGTAATCCTACGGCTTTTATAAAACCATCAGGCCTTCACCTCCTCCCTGCTCTCGGCTGAGGCTGTGACCATAATGGTACATAATAAAGGTCTACAGTGAGCAGCAGACACGGTGTTATTACTGAGGGGGGGGGGGGGGGGGGGGGGGGGGCACACGAAAAACAAAGGGGGCACACAGAAAATGTAAGTGTCTTTTTGCTTCAAAGATTTCGAGCCAGTGCTGAAGACCATATGCAGAGTGGTCACCAGAGTGTCTACCCTACAGATAACCTGTAATTAGTTAAAAATGCATTGTGTGTTGGGAAGTGGTATTTTGAGCGAGGGACACAAAGAAAGAGTGGTGAGAGGTGGGCAGAGCAGCCAATTTCTTTCTTTTCTTTCTTTCTCTCTCTCTCCTGTTGTTTCCAGTCAAGCCCTGTTTCCATGGCAACCTGCTGCCGGAGACAGCAGTGAAAGGAAGCATCGCCGCCCTCTCTCTGTGAGACCGTGTCCAACCTGTGCTCATGTCTGTGTATGTGTATGTATTTACAACAGGGTCAGAGATTAGCAGAGACTCCGGGGCAAAATGTCTTTAACATATTTGTTAAGGCCCATGATGGGAGAGTTCTACAGCTCCTGGAAGTGCATATAGTCAACTTCTGCGAAATCGGGGGGAGGGGGGAACGACAATCATATTCAAATATAAAAAAGTAGCTTAAGGACAGCAAAATACATGTAAAAAACATGTCAATCCAGATTTTTTACTTTTTAAACTTCCTCTAGGCACCAGAGCTAGCTAACTGCGTCATGGTTTAGACCAGAGATCAGAGGGGAAAAACATAAAATGTTGAATAAAATTGCTGTAATTAAACTGTGGGTTTTCACCAATTTGTGAACATTGTAGACAAATGGAACATGCAGAGATACAGTAAATATGGATAAAGAGATCCTTGCAGTTGTCAGCCAAATTATATATATATTTAAAAAAAACCTTATATCTATATAAGGTGAATACAATAAAATATCTGATATAAAATACTATTAATCACACAGAGCTTCTAATTGATTAGATTTTTTATTAATTATGACCTATCACTAATTTTTAGGGTGACACCTAAAAGTTAAAGAGAATAAATAAAATATACAAATAAGAAAATAATACTAAAAATAAAATAACCAAAATTAAAGTCAAAATTATGTTAAAGAATAAAATAAATGAAGAAAATGTTGGTAAACAAATATGTATTTGGAACCTGTATATGTCAGGATATGTCAGAGGAAACTTATGTGAGGTTTTTGTACATATCAAAAAGAAAAGCTCCTTTTTTTCATGGTTGATTTATTGATATAACGTAAGTAGTGAAGCAGGAAACCACAAATTTGCACACTAAACCACAGGCTGCTCTCTGTGACTGACTCTTAAGTCAAAGAGTCACAAAATTACTCTAGATTGTTCAGACATAGCTCTACAATCTCCGACATTGTCCAAAGCTCTTACTCCATGTCCAACATCAAAAGATACAGAGTACGAGCTTCCATTAATGCTCCTATCTGGAAACACACATTATTGATATTGTGTACAAGGTCAGGAACAGCCAAAAGGTAAACAGTGTGTTTCATTATCAAAACATGAAACTACACTGAATTATTAAACCTGCACATTTATCTACATGTTTTCATGATGAAAATTAAAAAACAAAATATTTGAAGCTGACCAGCAACAAGTGTCCAGTGCAACATGACAACTACTGTAATGAAGTTGTCAGTTTGTTTGCCGAACAGCACAAGTGACAAAAAAACAAAACAAAAACTACTACAGTAGCTTCTACCAACTCTTAGCTTGTACTTAAGCTATGACCTGGAAACAGGAAAACATTAAATGATGGACTTGTGGACATTTTAGCCTAAAATGCAGTTTAATAATAATAATTGCAGCAGTTGTTATGTGGGGCGTCACAGATTGGCTGCAAAAAGATGTTGACACGATGCAGAAAAATGTATTTGTTAAAGTATGTCTGCACAGCATCCCTATTCTGTTGAGCAGAGCCATCGTTATAACACATGAATAGATTTTTGTAATGATTGAAATGTCCCTGGTACAGAAGGCAAAATCATGAGATACTGTACGATAAGAGATCTGGCTACACACATGCAATTTCTTTCCAGCGTCTTGCAGTGGCGTCCCTGAGGGGTGGCCATTTCCACCCTTGAAAAGATGCCAGCTCCTCCACTCACCAGTGAGTATCTGCCCCCTCTAACTACGTACATTCCAGAGTCCAGGACATCAGACACAACATACTGTATGATTGGGTCTATATATTTTAGATATGACTGTGAGAAGACAGGAAATACATAAGGAAGGGACATGTCCAGGGTCAGGAAGTGAATATGGATATCCATGTGGAGAACCTTTTTTTGTTCGCCACACCAACATTATCACTGAGTTGCCTGTAGTCGCCCTGTGAAAATGGTTTGAAGGCCGCACTGGTGTCACTTGTCGGAATTCACTAACTCAGGGCATTTTCTGTGTTGGACTTGTGGACAGTGTATCCTGGACTGTACATGTACATGTGTTCATGTTTGCGTAATTGCCACCCATCTTCAAAATCCATCCACACCCTCTTATGTAAGTCTTGTTTTTCTTGCTCTTTCTTTTTCTTTCCTCTCCTCAGGAGCAGACATGCAGAAGTTAAACGCCCATCTCCCAGGACCACCCCACCCTGCTGGTCTGCTGTCTGTCTCAGTACTAATTACACATCCCTGTTTGTTTGCCCCCTTGTACACTGAATGCACACAGGGGTGTGACTTACAGTGCAAATGTGTGCGTATGCCCTGTGTGGCGTGACAAAAAAGAAAACTCTTTCATGGGCAACAGTTGCCCTGTGTGCCACTCAGAGAAACACCTACTGTGCTCTTCGCCCACTCCGAGTGGTTGGCAGTAAAACCACACCCTGAGAGAAAACCAATAACGTCGTCTAGGGTTGGGCCAGGGAGGTCTGGGACTCTGACTAGCCCAGATGTTTGCTTTCCTATAAAGAGAAAGGCAACAACTGGTGTGGCTCCAAAGGGCTATTTAAGACGACCGGGCCAGATCACTCTCAGTGAGAGACGACAGAGCCAGCGAACTTGTTAACCTTACGACGGACCAACATTGTCACCTGCCAGACTGCTTTTACCAGCCTGAAGACAGATCCAGTGGGATAGCTAATCCTGCGTGTCGCAGATACCACGTGACATTCATTTTCATCAGGTGGAAATAACGGTCCAACACACCAACAAATTAGGCAAAAGACAACGATTATCAAGTGTTTGGTTGTTTTTTTGACACCACTAGCAAAGCTACATTTGTGCTTCGACATGGTCAAAATACTGTGTCTTTACAAGTAAACAAGCACAGGATGGACATTTTCAGGAACAGTAGAGGACAAATCTGACCAATTCTGTTTTTCCCAGCTAATCTGTTAGCTCTCAGCAAGTAAGCTAGAGATCAATCTAAAACTATACACTTCACTTTAACCCAAAACATAAGTAGAAGAACAAGATAATGTTGCCCATTGGCCCAGATCTTTGTTTACCTCCAAGGGAAATTTGATTTTAGCTGTAGAGAAGCTTTAAATTTTCAACAGTAAGTGAAAGATTCTAAGATGGAAGTTAGGATTATACGACTGATGTAGTAACTGAGTGTACCATCTGTGTAACTGTGAGCTGTGTTGGGTAGAAGCCCATTTAAACCATGTAAAAAATAAAATTACATTTGACCTGCAGTACTACTATCTGCGAAGCCTAACTTGCCATCACACATTTAATAGTGTAAACAGTGTTACTAATGACTAAACTCTTGGAGTGCAGTGAAAAGATGATTCCAGAAACTACAACATAGTGGTTTCCTGTACAAAACAGTACTACAGTCCTGGGCACTAGGAAAAGGTAGTGGGAGGATTTAAGGTCTGAATGTTGGCTGGTTCATCGAGAGCAACAACGATCAACATTCCAAAGTCAAGAAGAACTTTCATCATCCACTAAACCGTGGAACAGATCTATCGTTTTGTTTTAATACAATATTTGAAGGAAGAATCTCCTCACTAAAATATATTCTAATGTTTGACAGTTGATCTTTGTCTTCTGGCTGCCGCCTTAACAAGTCACCACGGTCTGTTTTTAACTGTCTCTCCTACTGCTGTTACTGAAGTAATAATTTCAATTCAACTAATTTTGGCTGGATATCAAGGCTGGGAACATTAGCTGCTCTCAGACTTGAATCAAAGACCAAGACAATTTCCTCAAATTGTCCAAAGGGACTGTATGTTCTGTAGAAAACGCAAATGTAGGCAATAATTTCACAGCAGAGAAAGCTGTGGATTATTCACAGTGAGTGAATGAGGGGGCGAGAAATGTTCCTCCCATCAGGTGTCACCTCTTTTCTGAATGTTCCACATATTTTGCCACTGTCGTGAGCGGGCCTGGCCCAAAAGGTCTAATGCTCTGTTTATCAAATTCTTAATGGAAACTTTGTACAAAGTCCAAGTCCAACTATTCCAGACGTTTTACTGCCCTTGATCCCCCTTTTCAGAAACGCAATGAGCTGACTGTGTTGCTGTGTAAAATAATGAGGCAGAACTATGTAGTCCGCAATCAAACACGCACAGTTAGGTCTTTTTTATGGGGGGAAAAACAGATCTACTTTCAAAAATATGCCCGCTCAGTATCAATTTGGAAAAAAAACAGGGATGAGTTAATAGAAGGACGGAATTAATAAGAAGCAGACATCAGAGAAGAATAATGAGGACAAAGAGCAGTGAAGAAAGAAAAATTGAAAAAGGATAAGATGAAGAACAAGGTTGAGCACCAGGAGCAACAAAGAGGGAAGAGAAATGAGCTGAAAACAGAGGAGCAAAGGCTAAACGGAGAGCTCGAACTGAACAAGGAAAGAGAAAGACAGTTGATAGAGCTGAAGCACGAGGAACAAAACTCCACTCGGATGCAGCAAAAGCTGAAAAGCTACGTGGAGCAGAAGAAGGCCGACTTCAGGAAGATGATGGAGCTGAAGTAGGAGATGGAGCAGAAAAGAAAATACTGTCTCACCTTTGCTCTTGACATCATCCAGCAGAGGTAGCACGATGGCGCTGTTGAGTCTGGAGGGCGATCGGACGGCGGTGGTGTACATGAGCGGCAGCGACTGCACCACCACGGGGATGCGGTGAACGTGGCTGCTCAGCTTCCCCGCTCCCTGCAGACTCAGAGGACTGGACGGAGGCGGCGGCACAGAGTGCAGGATGTGCAAGTACGGCTGACCCCTCACCCCGCCACCAGGAGCCACCAGGGGGCCCGGCGTGAGCACCGACGAGGCTGAGGTGATGACCGATGGGGAGGAGGATGAAGATGAGGAGCATGTGGACGGTGAGAAGGCAGATCTGAGAGGTGAGGATGACGACTTTGAGTACGAGGTTGTGGATGTGGGCCGGGATTTGTTGATGGACAGGTCCACAGGTTCAGTCTGTGTGTGGAAGTGAAGGTCGTGGGACAGCAGGTCTTCTGGAGTCTCAGGTTTGACTCTGCTGAGGAAAAACGGGACGCCGTCCATCGCAGAGTAGCGGCGCACTTTGGGTGACTGTGACAGGACACAAAAAAACAGACAAATGTCAGCTGCAGCAGTCAGGAAGTTTCTGTTAACTGGCTCATTTCATGATTCACTTTTGTTTTGTGTAGCTTTGAGCACAATTTTTAACAAATCAGTTAATGAATGTTATGGTAATAATAATAATAATAATAATTCCAAACTAACTTTGAGCTTTTGGTTTAGTTTATTATTATTTTTTCTAACTAAATTGAATGCATTTTAGTGCCGTGGCTCCAATGGAATAAACTAAAATAATTAGCACTTAGCTCACATTTCTCACCTCCTTTTTGGCCTTTTGACTGTACTTCAGGTATGACAGTGTACATTCATTTGTGTTTAACAAATTATTTAGCTTTTTGAAGCCAATGTTGAGCTAGTTTCTTTTTTGACAAATTCTAATTTTCTTACCCCTACCTAGTCTTTTATAGACAAGAGGAAGAGAAAGAAGAAGAAGAATCATTGTACATTTAAACAAAAATACACACTCAATGAAATCCTCTACATTTAACCCATCCATGTAGCAGTAGCAGCTAACAGAAACCCTGAACCCAGTCCTCTAAACGCTACAGGCCTTTAGCCTCACATGTTTGACTGTCTGAAACAGACAAAGACCAAGGCTGAACACCCACCTTACTAAGTCATTTAGGAGCAAATACCAACATTTTGAGCACATTTTCTCCGAGTGTTTGGACATTTCTAACCATGTTTGTATCATAAGTCACCAGATGTGGAAACAACAACACTGTGTGACATATTTATACAAACTTTTATCGGAAAAAAAGGAGCAGTTACAGTAATTTCCTTGTGTTGACTCAAACGTTTGGACTGAAGTCCCCCGTGGTGGTGCAGTATGATGTCATTTACAGATGAAACACAGATAGTGTGTCCCTCTCTCTCTCCCTCCCTCTCTCTCTCTCGCAGTCTCCTCCCTTTACTCTCTGTCTTTTCTTTGGCCGGGGCGGTTTTCTTTCTCTTCCTCCTGTTTTCCATCACTCCCACTGAAACACTGCTCTCCCGGCTCTTCTTCTTCAATCTCCCCTAAATCTTTCTTTGTGATGGTGGAAAAACATCATATGGGCTCAATTTCCTGACCGTCTCTCTCTCTGTCTCTCTCCCTCTCTCTGTCTCTGTGTCTCAGAGATGATGGGCCTCTTCAGGCCAAACACTGGTGGCTCAGTGTCTTCTCCCTCAGCAGATCCTTCACTTAACACCAAACAGACTGCAACACAAAATAACTCCATCTGCCTGAACAACTTTCAGGAAACTGTTTACTCAGAATCAGAGATAACTGGAGAACTTCCAGAGACGCTAACTCTGCTACTGTTCCGTGGACCACAGACCTTTGGACTCTTTATGATTGTGTTTCTGTACTTCAGCTTTACATTTTACTCAAAAGTTAAACATTAAACTTTTAGCTCTTTTCTAACCAGATATGAATTTATTTTGAGAGTATTTTAGCAGGTGTGTGTTTTTTTTATTTTATAGTGATTACATGTTTGCTACTTTAGGATATTTTCTTAGAACAAAAGATAGCATATTAACATTATTTAAATTAGCATAAGCTAATTGTCTAATGTTTCTATATTTTGGGGGGGTTAATCTTTAGACACGTTCTTCTGCCTGCTGGTTTAGGAAAGATAAATGTAAATAAATCAGCCAACTTTTTTCTTTGTGTGACTAACTTTACTGAACCCACTCCTAGTTGTGTTACATTGTTGGTGTCTGTCCAGCTGTGAAGACGATCATGTCACTTCACAGGTTGATAACAAGAGATGTCAGTAATATTGAAACAAAGCTGATTGAACTCAGGGAAAAACAACAATGGCAGCTACAGAAGAAATTTTTAAAAAGAAGTCTACAGTGTGGATTTTCATCCTCAGTCTCACATTTCTTTCCTCTTATGTAATTCTGGCTGAGAGTAGGATCTGTTGTGTATTATGATTTTTTTTCTTTGTGTGTGTGGTGTGTGTTCTTCTTCCTACATGTACTATTATTACTCCAGACTTGTGTACTCACTCTGAGCCTAAAGGAAATGTTACGAACCCATGAATCAAAAACACGCTCTCTCTCTCTCTGACTCCTCCTCTGAGCTGGAAAACAAACTCTCGGCCCTGATATGTGGCCCCTGATGACCTGTGCACTGGAGTGGGGTTCAGCCCAGGTTCAGCCCAGGT